CTATCTATCTATCTATCTATCTATCTATCTATCTATCTATCTATCTATCTATCTATCTATCTATCTATCTATCTTCTATCTATCTATCTATCTATCTATCTATCTATATATATATATATATACGAGTTGATGATCGTTATTACCCAACTAGGTCCTCTACGTTGGTCCATAACTCGTCTTGCTTCTCCTGGCTATCTATGGCAACCAGGTCTCCGCCACCGGTTTCGTGACATTTCGTTCTCGCCGAGGAGAATACGACTGAATTCGACATATACAGGTAACACGCCCCTCGCAGATCTGCGGGAGTGTACTCCACGTAGTATGTAGGGCAGGTCAGCGACGCCACGCCAGCTATGTACATGAAAACAGAATAAATGGGAGTTGAACCCGGTAAGTTACCGCCGGGGAGATGAATATTGAATTTTTAATCCGCAATTATATAATCATTCCTCATCACGTACAAACAGAGGAATGAAGAATCTTCCGTATACAACAATATATTCTATTTATGTATACCTTTCTATTTACAAGTGAGTTTGTGCTTACGTGATAATGCCCCACATTATGGTATATGTATATATATAAAATATATAAGCTGCGTTCACACGTATACACGGCTTAGCTGGTACCGTACCTAGTTGGTGCTAAGTCCGGTTAAAACGCGTTCACACGAGATACACGAGATTCGAGGCTTAGCTAGCGCGGTATAATATAGACTGGTACCGGGTCGACAGTTCCACACGCTACCCTAACGTCGTGCATCGAACGGGTAGCAGTCTCGGTTAGAGCGCTACAGTTTTGCAATTCGAATGCGTTCACACGACAAACAATACGGCGCCAACTAAGCCGCGTATATTCGGCACCACGCTGGCCGCCGAATATGATTCCGCGCTAAGTAAGCCGGAGCAATCGCGGCTAAGCAAGCCGTGGCTAAGCAAGCCGCGTATTACTACGGACCATTGTACAGCGTATCCATACAGCGCTGTACTTAAGCGGCAGCGGTGAGGATCCATTTGGAAACAACATGGCGTCAAATCCTGAGTTGGCGCAACTCTCTTTATACAGGGACCCTAATCGCTACGTGTCACTGATCTCTATAAGATCAGTGCTACGTGTGCGCTGACCAGGCGGCGAGATTTTAAACCGTAGGATGGCGACGCCAGATTGATGAATCATGCGTCTCTGATTGGTACGTGTGGTATCCCAGAAACCACCGCAGCCTTCGCCCTACCAAAGATCATATATACAATCATTGTATATATGATCTTTGGACCTACTCCCTAACCCTAACCCTAACGATAACCTTAGATGGGTTTCGAACTAACGAACTTCAGACGTAACGCTAGCCGCTCACGAGTTTTTTTTTCGTACGCGTAAGAGCAAATACTCACAGTGTCGTCATATACATAGCACATCCAAAATTCTTAAAAAGAATATGTCGCAATAGCGTAGCGAGTAGACCCTACAGTGCGATCGTCAAGTATGAAAGGTTGGTGGATCGAATCCGATCTGTTTTCTAATTATTTTCCTGTTTTCTGTATTTTTCTATCTGTATCTGTTTAACATTTTCTTCCAATTAACGCAAATACTTACATGATTTATTTACAACATTTTAATAACAACAATTAATTTTTACAACAATTAACAATTTTTTATATATTTTTTTAAATAGGGATTGGGTTAGGGTTAGGGTTAGGGTTAGGGTTAGGATTAAGGTTAGGGTTAGGGTTAGGGTTAGGATTAGGGTCCACGCGCATGCGCACATGAAGTATTTGCTCTCTTACGCGTACGAAAAAAAACTCGCCAGCCGCTCTACCAGCTCGCCTATTCAGCCGTATTAAAATTGTATATTATGGATGTGCCAGGCATACATGCATGCATGCATCGGTGCGGTGGTTTCTGGAATAGACTGCTGTAAGGGGTAAACCCAACGCACCAATCAGAGACGCGTGATACATCAATCTGGCGTCGCCATCCTACGGTTAAAACTACTAAAAACTCGCGACCAGGCGACGGATTCAGGAAACAGTTTTTGGATTAACCAATCAAATGCATGATTTGAAGCACGTGATCAAATATTGGCAGCGCCCGTGGTGTGGTTTGAACAGGTCACGTACAGTTCATACAGTGGTATGTCGCTGACAGATGGTTGCATTGTCGCCGGGTGGCGCACACGTGGCGATTTTGATCGATGGACCGGCGATAAAAATTGACGCTTCTGTCGATAAAAATCGCCACGTGTGCGCCCGGCTTTAGAATCAGCATTGGAATTAGCGTTACATTTAGTTTACAATTAGGGTTACAATACTCACTTCGGACTCATATTAACTATATTAACTCATAAAAGATCCGATAGGTGGCGCGGTTTGTTTTCATTAGATCCCTGCGCAAGGTAACCTGTATGATACAGGCGGTTCCGGTTCCGCTTCACTACACTTCACCGCCTGTACCCCTTGCTTCTTCAGCCCGCTTCGCGAAACAAGAAATGATTGCGCCCAATCAGAGAGCTGTAACGGGCCAATCAGCCAATCAGCGAGCAGGCTTTTGCCTGACGTCATTTCTCCAGTTATTCAAGTTGCCTGATCGATAACGAGGCTTGCGAAACGCCAGGGTTGAGCTCGCGTACAGGCGGTAGATAGTGTAGTGAAGCGAAACATACCGCCTGTATCATACAGGTTATGCGCACGGTGCAAAAATTTCCGACATTTTTAATGTTTTTGAACGTGGAATGTGAACAAAATAAAACTGTGAAAAAAAATAAATAGCCCATGCAACGTGTCATGATCTGTAAAATGTTCCGACCAAGTTTGGAGAGGATCCGTTGAGCGTTGCGGAAACATATAGCCGGACACACACACACACACGCACACGCACACGCACACACACACACACGCACACACAGACAGAAATTTCCCAATTTATAGTAAGATTGGTACCTTGGCAAGTTTTCTGTATTACGGGGGGTTCTGGTCCCGTTCCAATGCCTCCAAGGTCATATAGTGCTGCCGCGGCCGCGGAGAGCGTGTCACTGCGAGAATATCATACTTGAACCATTATATTTTAATTAATCCTGTTCTAGTGACCCAACCTATTCTCCAAATGCTTCCATTTTCAAGCAAGCAATAATTCTGGAGACAAATCCTAGCAAATCCTAGTTCTGGATACCCCGTCTTGCAAACATGTCCAGTTCCAGAGACCCCCTCTTGCAAACATGTCCAGTTCCAGAGACCCCCTCTTGCAAACATGTCCAGTTCCAGAGACCCCCTCTTGCAAACATGTCCAGTTCCGGAGCATCATGCTTCACCGCAAACCCTAGTTCCGGAGACCCCCATCTTGATGGGCTGAGTTAGTACCAGAACCCTCCAATTCCATCTCTCAAGTGGCACATACCTACCCCATTTTGTAGGGAGTGCCACCCCTGGGTTGTTATAGTAGATTATACTATTGGTACTATAATAGGTATACTAGGGTAGATAATATACTACTTGTAAATATATTTTAAAATATACATGCATTATTTATGAAAAGCGACTTCAGAGCATCGATTTATTTTGCATTAAGGTAATTTACTTGAAGTCTATTGTTGTATACATGACTTTATTCCTTTGTTATTCATTAAACATGCAATGGTGACGTGTTACACACAGACAGTGATGCGATTTTCCTGTCCCACACTTGAATTTAGTAACTCTTATAAATCGTATGAATTTGTGGGAAAATTACAAGATACGCCAATAAAAAATCTTGCAGGAAGATTATCTGAATTGCACTTTTACGTGATTTTATTCGTTTTTATTCGTTTTTTCATTGGTGATGCACAACTAAAAATGGCTACTATTTGGCCATTTATAAAACAACTAAATATTAAGGATACTAGTAGAATCCCTGACACCGTTGCAGGGCTTTGTATACCATCTATTTTTTTAAACAACTCGCGATTATAAACGTGTCAGGGCCGTGGCTAATTCATTCTGCACTTGGGCAGGGGGTGCAAGGCAATATGCAGTTTGTGTTCTGGCAATTAACAGTGCGCAGTATACCAGTGGCACGTACTGTCAAGGCCAGGGGAACGGAACTGCTTTGCCCCTCCCCCTACCCATTCCCGCTAGCTACGGCTGTGCTTGCTCCCAAGCGTAGTAGGAACTTGGTTGCTGTGACAACAATAACAGTGAAACTAATAATAACTACACAATTAGTGACTATATCAATGACAACAATTATGACAATATTTTTTGCACAAACATGTAAAACGATTCTCAAATAACAAGCAAAGATTGCTGCAATGTTGCATCGAAATTCGAATTAAAACTCCAATTAGAAAATGCCGAAGTTCCGGTTTAAATTGGAGGGAAAATTCCGTCAAAATATATTTCCAAAACGCTTACCACAGGGAATATGGCAATTAGTTACTATTGAAAAAACACAAACGATGTGACCGCACTTGCACTTATTTTCTCAACTGACTTGCAGAAAAAATGAAATGAAAGTACGTATGTAAAAATAAATTTGAGTAAATTTGTCAACCACGCTTTCCTCCATGTCCATGTTTTCACTTCGTTACTGGAGAATACTGTCCTTATATTATTATAATTATAATATAGATAAACACATACATGGTTTTTCTTTTCAAACTGTCACACAATTGTAATGTCGTAATTCCATGAAATGACAATCAAGACTGCTATGGTCTTTAACTCACAAGGTACATCCGACTACTTGTTTACCTGATGAATGTGTGGAAGATTTCTGAAAGTAGTTATTTATGGTTGACAAATTTCCATACTTCATTGGTGATAGAAAGGGCAGATACGTTGACCAGCAATTACAATAATTTTTTACACATCTTCTTCCTCTACTGCGTTTTGATGTGACTTTGAATGACACTGCTCTCGAAAAGCTCTTATACCACGATTAGATTTTTATGGTTTCTGTCCTACGTGAGTTTTCAAGTGACTTTTCAAACGGTCACTTCTGGGGAAAGCAGCTTCACAGAGCTTACATTTATAAGGTTTTTCGCCGGTGTGAGTTCTCATGTGTTTTGTCAAATAGGCTTGAACAGCAAAACGTCTTTGGCACAAATCACATTTAATTGGTTTCTCTCCTGTGTGAGTTGTGAGGTGAAGCCTTAAACTATGTGGCATCGAATAGGCAGCTTCACAATGATCACATTTATACGGTTTCTCGCCTGTGTGGGTTCGCATATGAGACTTTAAGGAACTTCGGCTGGCAAAAGTGTCATTACATAGATCGCATTTAAACGGTTTCTCTCCTGTATGGGTTTTCATGTGTATTTTCCGGTTACCTGAAGTAATAAAAGCTGCATCACACAAATCACATTTGTACGGTTTCTCTCCAGTGTGAATTCGCATGTGTTTTGTCAAAGTTCCTTTCTCAGCAACAGTTACATTACATACGTTGCATTTAAATAGTTTCTCTCCTGTGTGAGTTGTCTTGTGTCTCTTCAGGCTGCATACCTGAGAAAAAGCAGATTCACACACATCACATTTGTACGGTTTTTCTCCAGTGTGAGTTCGCAAGTGTACTATCAAGTGAGTCGATGAGCTAAAAGCCTTCTTACACATCGTACACGCATATGGCTTCTCTTTTGTATGAGTTCTCATGTGTGTCGTCCAGTTACCCACTGCTGAGAATGTACAATCGCACAGTTCACATTTATATGGCTTTTCTCCTGTATGTTGTCTGCGATGGATCTTGGTTGCTCCTGCCGTAGTGAAAGCCGCGTCGCAAAAATCACATTCATATGGTTTCTCGCCCGTGTGTATTCTCATGTGGAACACCAAATATTGCTTTGAAGAGAAAGCTTTCATACACACATCACACTTAAAAGGTTTATCACCAGTATGAGTTCGCAAGTGCATTCTCAAACCACATTTCTGAGAGAAGCTTGCTCCACACATGTCACATTTATGCGGTCTCTCCCCTGTATGAGTCCGCTCATGTATAATTGCACACTTTTTAACAGCGAAGGTAGCATCACACATACTACACTTATATGGTTTCTTACCTGTGTGAGTTTTCATATGTATTATAACAGCAGACTGCTGTGTGAAATATACTCCACATATGTAACATTCATATGGTTTTTCTCCCGTGTGAGTTCTTTTGTGTCCTCTCAAAGCGCCAGATACAGTAAAGGCTTTTTCGCACATATTACATTTGAATGGTTTTTCTCCTGTGTGAATTCTCATGTGTTTCTTCATATCACCACTATCTCGGAAAGCAGCTTCACATAGTTCACATTTATATGGCTTTTCCCCTGTGTGAATCTTGATGTGATGCTTTAATTTATCCTGGGAAGAAAAGGCAGCATCACAAATATCACATTTATATGGTTTCTCCCCTGTGTGCGTTTCCATGTGTTTTTCCAAATGGCCAGATGAATAAAACGTTTTTTCACACGGTTTACATGTATATGGCTTCTCTCCTGTGTGACTTTTCATGTGAACCTTTATCTGAGTTTTTTGACGAAAACCTATATCACAGACATTACATGTCCATGGTTTCTTTCTGGCCATAGACCCAGTAGAAGTAGTGGCTGTTCTTGTGTGCTCCTTTATGCGGCCTTGTTGGGAGCAGGCTGAACCAGACATGTTCTGTATTCACTCTTTAGAAGCCCATTTCTCATTGGCATCAGTTGACGCTTTACTCAAGGAAAGCTGCAACAAAAACATTTATATATCAACACTATATTACTAAATAGATATCAATTATATGCAGAACTGTTTGTTTTTAATTATATATTTTGAAGGTTAAGTTCATAATTAAGTTAACTTAAAGGCTCACAATGCGCATCAAAACGCTAATTTCTCCAGTACTAGACTAGCAAATACTTCGTGTCATGCATAATCACACTACCTTATGACAAAATAAACTCTAGTTGCTCCCATTTCACTGCACGTTTGCTTAAAACCCACAAGAAAGAGGTGAGAAAACTGGCATTCTGGCGCAAACGCCGACTGTTTGCCAAACAAAATAGCCTCGAAGTGGTGACGTGACGTCATGTTTTTATCTTTGCTGCGCCCGTACCGCTGTACCGCGGCACCGCGGCACCGCTGCACGGTTGCTTGGAGATTGGGGAAACTGTCAACAACATCGGAGAATTTCAACAACATTGGAGGTATTTTCAAAATACCTTTTATAAGACAACGCGCAGTGAAATGGGAGGAACTAGAGTTTATTTTGCCATAAGGTAGTATGATTATGCATGACACGAAGTATTTGCTAGTCTAGTACTGGAGAAATTAGTGTTTGGATGCGCTGTGAGCTTTTAATGGAAAACTAGAAGTAACATGGTTGTGCTCCTGTACCAGGGTAAAAAAAAACTCCCCTTCTCAGTTCTCACTCTTCTCTCTCTACATGTACAGACGCATAATAAATCGATGGGTAAAGATTGCTTTCGTGCCCCAGATTCCGACCTAATTACAATGGAGTACTTCTCGCTAAGTCGCCAGGACGATATCAGTACAACGTATTCATATTCCAGGTAATGTTCGTCCACGCTGTCCGTGGAGTTGTGATTTTTTCTGTGATGGACTGCGGTTCTGCACAGCAACTCGCAGTGAGCTGACCACCATGAGACGTGGTACCATGTATCTTATATATACTAATATCTAGTATATATCTATATAATTATATATTAAATAAGTTTTATCAATCTGGGATAATTTGAAACACAGTAGTACAGCGCTTCGGATGGGACAGATTTGCCATAATCGCCCGTAAACTGCCAACGAGGCTGGCAATATACGCCATGTTCTGCGGTCGCCCCAGCCGTCGATGGAGCCCATCGTGTCAGCGACGACGAATAAGCCAAGTATCCGGTAGCAGTCTGAAAAATGCAAAGGTAGCGTGTTACATTTACATTGACTGGGTAGGAATGGGGCGTATTCGCTTTATAAAGAACAGCCATAACTCATTTATTTGAATCTTATTATAAACCTATTGTTCTAGTGAACAATATAAAAAATATATATTGAACATATATATGAGTTTGACTTTTCATTTTCTAATCAATCATATATTTAATTTATTAATCATTGATGTATGATAATTGATGATGATGAAGTATATACAGAGGGTCGAATTGGCTCTAGTCATTTTTAATTAACTCGACGCTTTGTTTTAAACAGGTTTTTAAACACTTGCTCATGGATCGGTGTCTTTCGCGTCTTTGGTGGCCCCCAGTGTCATTACAGGAAACTCATAAATAGTGTTGCTTCCCAAAACATATAATACTCCAGACAGTTTGATTGGAAACCTGGGTGGCTCAGTGATGCAGTTTAACTGGCCATAGTTTCAAATCTTTTTCGGCCGAAAGTTGGACGATTGACGGGCAGCAAATGTTCTCTTTTCATTGTTGCCATCAACGGACAATGTCCACAGAGCACCTGGGGAAAATGTGCTCTTTAACGAATGTTCTGAATTATCATCATAATGGCTACTATAATGATGAAGATATGATGGGTCACTGTTGCCCATATCATTTCTACTTATAGTGGATAAACCTAAAGCTAGCTAGGCAATATGACTACTAACCACGGTTATATCTACTACTACTACTACTACACTACATATTTTGATATACAGTGTGATCAAGCAACCGAAAGGAGTGCTCCCGTGAACAGTAACTGAGGCTGTAATCCTACTAGAACAGCAACCGCGAATCGGTAATCTGATGTAGCATGTAGGTTCCCCTAAATCCCGCCAGCATTGCTTGGCTAAGCAGGCACTATACTGGGTACTACTAGTACTCACCAAACATTAGCACGCGAGCACGCCTACTGCCGCTGACCTGAGGGTGGCGTGCGGATCTATTGTTACTCTTTAGCATCCTATACATACTAATAGCTAATAAATACAGCTAATTACACAAACAAATCAGAATACAAGGCCTAGTGGTGTTACTATAAGTCCTATAATAACGATAGAAACGTAATAGTATTACTATTACATATTAGTTACTATTAGTATCTAGTCAACAACTAGCCACTAACTAAACAAAGTAAAAGTTATAGCTAATAAAAGTTATAGTACGTGATACCTAACGAAACTGACAGCTAATGACCTGAAACTAGCGTAGCAAGTTACCATGGATAAACAGCTGCTAGCGGATAGTAAATCTAAATAGTACCAGTACGAGTATCAGTAGTATACTATATTAGTAATATAGCTGCGCGAGAGAGAACACGTGTATTGCTAGGGATTTTAGAATTAGAATTAGAATTATATTAGAGATAGGCGTGGTATAACTGTATAGACACTCCGTCGCAACAGCCTGGTCGGCTATTAGTAATACTGCCCAATGGGCCAAGTTAACCATTCCAATCGGGCCAGCGGCGGAAACAGCCGCTTCGTCACGCATCATGCACTAGACGTTAATCTGGGCGAGGAAGAACTCACTCCCATCAATATCACCAAACGTACACCAATTTGAGCATCGGTTCATACTCATACGGCAGAACACCTCATTCACACACTTACCAAAGTCATACGTTTTCGCAAGCTGCAAACAAAGTCATCCGTTCACAGCCATTTTCGTTATCACAAACACAGAAGCGGCATGTTCCGCTATGTGAAACGTCAACAGCCACTGTTAAGTGTTTTCCGGAATTACGATTTTTACAAAAGTAGGAAACGTCCACAGACCCGTTACATTTTTCGTTGAATAACGCATCAAAAAACGCAGGATAAAAAATTATTAAAGATTGTTTAAGTATAATATGATAAAGGATATTTATCTGTCGAAATTGCCTAGAATATGCTAGGCTATTTATGTTAACTGCGTCAACACTATGAACTTTATAAACCTCCTTTAACATTTTCTCCTCATAACATATATATGTATATATAAGAGAGACA